TCTTTCCAAAAAAAAAAAAAAAAAAAAAAAAAAAGTTAGTGGCTGCTTGTTCAAAATACAAACATTAAAATAATCTAAACAAGGGACCAGCAGATGGCATAGTGGTTATGTTGTTGGGCTCCCACTGACCGACCCTGGTTTGAGTCCTAGATTCAGAGGCTTCAAACTCACGCCAGGTGCATGTGTTTGCATGCTCAAAATCCTGAGAGGAGACTGGAGGAGAAGGAATTGCAGTGTGGCCATCCCCCCTGGGGGTTGATTTCTCACTTTTTGTCTCTCTGTCTCTCTCAATCTCTCTGGCAAACACGTGTGTCCTATGGCAAAAATCTCTAAAAAATTAATAATTTAAATGAAATCGAAAAAGTTTAAATTTAGCCACTACAGTTCATTATTAGCTTTCGGACACAGTGACCCTTGCTTGGGGACAATAAAGTAGAGAAAAGGCTAAGGAGAACAGCAGTTTGGTGTGGGAAAAGTTTGGGGTTGGTCTAGAATCATTCTGGTCCCATACACTGGAACTGAGCTATGCCAGGGCTGAACCAACCCTGCCAATTCCAGTTGTCTTAATTCCCAAACCAGATTTTAGGCCCTTCGGAATGCCCATGGGCCCATCCAGAATCGAACTTTCAAGGAGGCACAGAAACAGTCAATTTCCCCAGAGAAGAAAGGATACTTCTATCGAAAGCAAGCTATCAACTACTACACAAGAATTTCAAATACGTCTGTCTTAAGCTAAAACTATAGTGGGCTTGTTTATGAGAATAAAAAGCGGGGCCAGCCAGCAGGTGGTATGGTAGTTAAGGCACTAGACTCCCATGTGGCCACCTGTAGTTCAAGTCCCAGACCTGGTGGCTTATTCTTGTTTTCCCTTGCTCACTCTCTTTCTCTCTCTTTCTGGTGAGCACACATGCCCTACAGTAAATTAAAAAATAACAACAGATAAAATTAAATGGATAACTCTTTTAAAAAAATAAAAAGGAAGTAAAAAGCAAATTTTGCCATATCATTTCACCACTGGCTTGACTTATTCTATAATAATATCATGGACATGCTCTCCACATAATACTTTGGTAATGTATTCTTACCTACTGGGTACCTTTACAAATATCACTTTGGAAAGTGCCTTAAGAGAAGGAATAAATAACATGATAATTTCATACTTACGAAGTGCCTGACAGCAAAAATGGGATGCGGACACCATCCACTACCACGATATTCCTTATGTTAGGTTTGGCTAATGTCTTCTTCGATTTAGTCTGGACGGCTTTAAGACAAAGTTCAAAAAACTGTTACTTAAATACAGAAACTCAGATGACTTTTCACCTTTTTAAAGGTAGACATTCTCAGGAGAACTACATCATTTAATGCTAAGTTGCATTTGCCATTTACTAAATCACTTTAATATTAAAAAGGAAAAAAGGCTAAGAAATTGACTAGACACTTACAAGTTTCTACCCAAAGATGAAGATATTTATTCCATTAACAAAATCATTCATTTTTATAAAGTGTTTCACACTTATTGCCCTAGGAGGGATCAATTTTACACAATTCTGCCACTAATTTTAGAAACTGCAATGATTAATTCTGTTCACTCAACATGTAGTTGATGTTCTCGCCTTTTTTTAAAAGAATTATTCATTTAATTTTATTTATTATTTTTTAAAGATTATTATTTTATTTAACTTTATTTATTTGTTTATTTTTAATTTGGCCAGAAGGCAACAAAGTGAGAGCAAGAGAGAGAGAGGGAGGGAAAGTAAGAAAGGAAGCTGCCAGGCCTGAGACTTGAACTGTGGTCAGCCATGTGAGAGTCCAGTGTCCTTAACCACCACACCTGCCGGCCCTATTTAATTTTATTTATTACTATTATTCTTCAATTTGATCAGAGAGAGACAGAGAGAGAGAGATAGAGAAAGCAGTCAGGTCCAGGACTCAAACTGTGGTCAGCTATGTGGGAGTCCAACACCTGACAGCCTTTCTAGGACTCAAACTGCAGTGAGCCATGTGGGAGTCCAGCACCTTAACCACCATGCCGCCTGCCAGCCCTGAAATCTTTAGTTTTTATAAATTAAATAATAAAATGTGCAGGCCAGCAAGTGGCATGGTGGTTAAGGGCACTGGACTCCCACATAGCCAACTGCGGTTTGAGTCCTGGACTCGGTGGCTTGTTTTTCTCACTTTCCTTCTTGCTCTGTCTTTCTCTCTCCCTGTTCCTTTCCGGCCAAATTAAAATAAATAAAGTTAAATAGTTTATTAAAAAATATTCATTACCAACCTTTTTCTTTTTAAAGAATTATTTTATTTAACATTATTTATTTATTTCAAAATTTGACCACAGAGGGAGAGAAAGAGAAAGAGGAGCGAGAGAAAGCCACCAGGTCTGGGACTAGAACCATGGTTGGCCATATGGGAGTCCAGTACCCTTAACCACCATGCCACCTGCCAGCCCCAGTAATGAATTTTTTTTAAAATAATAAAATATGAATCCATGCATGTGCTTTAAAAAAAGTGAATAATGGGACCAGCAGATGGTGTAGTGGTTATGTCTCTGAACTCTCACATGGAAGACTATGGTTCAAGCAGATCCAGTGGCTTGAAAATCATGCTGGGTGCATGTGCATGTGTGCCCAAGATCCTGAGAGGAGAAAGAAGGGACTGCAGCATGGCCATTCCCCTGTGGGGGTGACTTCTCACTTTCCCTCTCACCGTGTCTCTCTCTCAATCCAGCGAGCACATACGCCTTATGGCAAACACCTCTTAAAAAAAAAAAAAAAAAAAAGTAAATAGCACTATGCTGTGGAGAGTAAGACAAAGTTTCCTCTTTATGCCCTCCACTATTATTTCGTCCCAAGAGCTAAATACTATTTATTTGGTATACACACCATATATTTCAAACATATTTTATTTTAACACATGTATATACACCCCCAACAGGGCATGATCAGGACACAATTCCCCTTCCTTCATTTCTCCATCCCATCAGGATTCGGGACCTGCATGCACATGTGCCTGGCATGTTAAGCCACCAGGGCCAGAGACTGAACCACGGTTGGCTGTGTTGGACCCAGCTTTCTAGTGGTCCTTAAATGCTGAGCTACAAGGTCAGCCCATTACAGGTGTATGTATTTTTTTCTTCCTTTAATTCCAGAAGTCATGTGTCAGTACACACACACATTTGTGTGTGAGTGCAAGAGGGAGAACCTTTAACAGGACCAGACGCATCACAATCCTTTCTTCTCTGATTCTCCAGCCGGTCAGGATCCGAGCATACATGTGCCAGGTGTTTTCTTCAAGCCCACAGAGCAAGGACTTGAACCCCGGTTGGCCATATGGGATCCGGCTTCCTCTGCACAGCGTCACACTGCTGTGCTATGGGGCTGGCCTTTCCATGTACATTTTTTATTTAATGATATAGCTTGAAGTCCTTTCCATGTTAATATATTTAAATCTCTCTCATTCTTTTGTTGTTAATGTTGTAATTTATCACTGGGCATGTGTGCACATGTGCCCCAAATAAGGAGAATGGAGGAGAAGGGATTGTAGCGTGGCCATCCCTGTGGGTGGGTGATTTCTCACTCTCTCTCTCTCTACCTCTCTCAGGAAAGTGCACACACCCTATGGCAAAAACATTTTTTTTTTTTTTTTACTTACTCATTACTCCTTCAATATAGGAGATAGAAAATTATTCTAAATTTTTGGGAATAAAATTTCAACAACCACCTCACCCCATGCCCACTTACAACACAGAGAAATATTTTTCATAAATATCTACAACAAACTTCAAAGAAATGTTAGAGTTGAGAATGATGATGAAACAAAATACAAAGATTATCCTGGCAGCTCTCCCAGAGACGTGTTAGTGAAGGAGATAAGGGCAGCGAGGAGGTAAATGGGTAGGCCATGGCAAACCCGACCAAGAGGCACTAAAGGCCAGGCAAAGGCAGCACTGACATGAGTGGGCAGGAAAGGACCAATTCAAGTGATTTCATAAAATAAGGCTAGGTATCGTGACCAGCATTCAGATACAGAAAAAAGGGAAAAGGAAAACAAGATTATAAAGGGAGTCTACAGTCCAGAGGGGGGGGGGGGGCGGTGATCATGCAACTGGTTCTAGGCTCACATCCTGGGTCCTCTCTGCACACGCCAGGCACGTGTGCATGCCTGCAATTTGGGCTGGCTGAGGCTGAGGGTGGACTGTGGTATGAGGACTCTGTTGGGAGTGCCTGTGTCTGTATCTCTCTTGTCAAAGAAATGGATATACTGAAAAAAAAAATACAAAGTTTAGAGACTACGAAAATCTAGCTAGTAAGAACTGGTTTGGGGACCGCCAGGTGGTGTGGTAGTAAAGGAGCTGGACTCCCACATGGCCGACTGTGGTTGAAGTCCTGGACCTGGAGGCTTGCTTTCTCCCTTTTCCTCTCCCTCTGCCTCTCTTTGATCAAGTTGAAAAATAACGGTAAATAAACAAAATTGAATAATAATTCCTTTTTAAAAAAAGAACTGGTTTTGGAATAAAGATGACTTCATTTTTACTTGCTAATTTTGAGGAGATGGAGAGGCATCTAGTTAGATACGCCCAGTTGGCAGGTAGCTAGAAGATGCAAAAGTAAAGCGTGAAGAGGAGTGAGTATACATCACAAACTCATAAACTAGCTGAAGCTGAGAATACAAAGAAAAGCACACATATTTTACAGTAAGCTCTCTTCAGTTCCCCCAAAAGGGAGCCCCCCTGCTTATACCGCTTCCTAAGGGGAAAGCTACAGATAGCCACGTCCCTAAGCTAATCAGATCAGCATAGGTGCTGGACCCAACAATCCAGAAATGTGTCGTCTACCTAAAAGTGATAAGCTGTGCTGCTCGGATTCCCTCTTTAAACAACGAAGCATGGAAAGAAATGTCAATTACTTGAAACTGAAAAGATGCCAGGAGAAAGGACCAGAATGATGGTACTAAAGTCACTTATAAGCCAGAATTATGGGGCTGCAAAAACCATGAGGAAGCACAGAAGCCCAGCAAGCAGAATGAAGGAAAGACCAACAAAAAAGAATGAAGAACAGAGGAAGCAGAAAGGCCAGGAAGTGACATGCCACATGGCGCACAGTCAAACCAAGCAGCTGGCCCCCGACTGCTTGCTTGCTACCTAACACCTTCCAGTTGGAGCATGACAGAGAGAGTGAGTGGATGTTTCAGTGGGGTGTGTCAATACTGCAATCCTTTTCCTCCATTTCTCCTTCCTATCCAGATTTTGGGCCTGTACACATAGGCACACGCAGCCTGTTTTTCAAGCTGCAGAGGCTGGAACTTGAACCATGGTCAGTCACACAGAACCCAACTAGCTGCATAGCACTTACCCACTGTGCTACAGGGCCTTCCAAAATTAAAGTTTTGTTTTGTTTTGTTTTGTTTTAAGAGAGATTTCTGCTATAGAGTATGTGTGCGGGCAAGAGACAGAAACAGAAAGGGAGAAATCACTCCCCAGGGGATGGCCATGCCACAATCTTTTCTCCTCCATCCCCTTTTGGGATTTTGGGCACACACACCTGGCCTGAGTTTCACCAGGACTCAAACTGCAGTCAACCACATGGGAGTCCAGAGATATAACCATTATGCCATCCGCTGGTCCCCCAAGTTCTTAATTCTTCTAATGAGTTTCTTTCTTTACTAGGTTCCACCTTAACCTCAACTATTTCCTTTTTTTTTTAAAGAATTATTTTTATTTATTCACTCACTTATTATTTTAATTTGACCACAGAGAAGCAGAGAGAGAGAAAGCCACTAGATCCAGGACTCTAACCGTGGTTGGCCACATGGGAGTGTCCAGCACCTTAACCACCACACCACCTGATGGTCCCAACCTCAACTATTTTCTGCTACTCCTCAAAATATAACAAGATGGGCAAACCTTCAGTCTCTTACAGACTTGGTAACTTCAACTGCCTTACCTTTATTTTCGTACCCTCCCACCTGCATGTCCATCTAATTCTTTTGTTTTGTTTTTTCTTTGCTTGTTTTTGCTATAGGGTGCAGGCACTCACCAGAGATGGACAAAGGGAGGGAAAATAAGAAATTGCTTCCTTGGGGGCGCAGGGGGAATAGACACGTTGCAATCCCTTTTCCTACAGTCTCCTTTAGGGATTTTAGCACATGCGGGCACATGTGCATACACACGTCCACCGTGATTTTCAAGCCATTGGTTCAGGACTTGAACTGCAAAGCTGGCTACGTGGGATCCAGCACCTTAACTTCCACGTCACCTGCTGGCCCTTATCCATCTAATTCTTATCTATCTTGTGGCCCTAGTTCACATTCCATCACCTAATAAAGCCTTTTCTGATAACTACAGCTACCTATATAGTTCCTACCTCTGAAATAAAGATACGTCTAGGTAAAAATTGGCCAATTAGCATAGTATTAAGTAATTAACTCTACAAATCACATTTTAGAAATATCACTGAGGCCGGCAGGTGGGTGGTGGTTAAGGGCGCTGGATTCCCACATGGCCAATTGTGGTTCAAGTCTCGTACCTGACAGATTGCTCTCTCACTTTCTATCTTTCTCTGGTCATATTAAAAAATAATAATGGGGAGCAGCAGTTGGTGTAATGACTATGTTGCTGGACTCCCATGTAGTCGACTGCGGTTCAAGTCCCAGGCCTGGTGGCTTAAAATCACACCGGGCAGGTGTGCGTGCCTAAGATCCTGAGAGGAGAATGGAGGAGAAGGGATTACAGAGTGGCCAACTGCCAAGGGAGGTTATTTCTTGCTTTCTGTCTCTCTGTCTTTCTGGAGAGCACATGCGCTCTATAGTAAAAAACCTGCCCCCCCCCAAAAAAGAATAAAGTTGAATAAAATAATTCCTGTAGTCCACCAGGTAAGTGCTGTGCATAGGGAGCTGGATCCCACACAGCTGACTGCACTTTGAATCCTGGACGCTGAATGTTGGAAAACACGTCAAATTCACATGTGTGCATGTCCAAAGTCCTGATATGATGAAGAAGGCGGAGGAAAGAAGATTGCAGCATGACCGTGCCCCGATGGGGGGGTAGGAAGGCGTGGTTTCTCTCGCAAGTGCATGAGCCTTCTGGCAAATAAAAATAATAAAAATATTCATTATTCACTATGCATTGAAGAGTCATGCAAAGGACTCTCATTCCGTCTCATGTGCACACTGGCTCTAAATCACATTGTAACTTGCTCAAGGGCAGCTAATACAGCTCCTGTCACGTGTTCCACAGTGCTCCGGGCACACAGTAGCAGTGAACTCTAAGAATCGTGACTGGGAGGTAAAAATATCTGGGTTCTAGTCCCTGTTCTGCTAAAATGTTCTCACTGACCAGTTGGTGACATGGTGGGTAAGGTAGCTGGATCCCACACAGCCAACTATGCAGTTTAAGTCCTGGACTCAGCAGACTCAAAAACACACTAGGCAAATATGCATACACGCTGCAAATCCTGAAAGGAGGGGAAGATGGAGGGAAAGGGAATGTAGTGTAGCCATGGCCCAGGGGTGGGAGGTGCTTTCTTACATTTTCTCTCTCTTTTTTGGTCTCTCCCTGGCAAGTGCATGTGCCCTCTAGCAAAAAAAAAAAGATGTGTAAGGTATTCCACAACTGCTACATATGTGTTTATATTTACAGAGCTAGAAATAGATATACCCATCAAATCAGTCACAATTTCTATCCAACACTTACAGTCTATAAAATGACTGGACATTTCAATAAATCCTGTATCCCTCTATTCTAATTCTGCTAAGCAGGGATATTCATGTGAACTTAAGAGGAATTCGTTATAAAATTGTGCAGTCAAGAGCCTCCTCCCCGCAGGCACACGCTTTCCTTTGCTTTATCATGTGCTCTCTTGCATCACTATCGTCACTATTAACACGAATGAACACAAATTGCTTGTACAACACTGTATTAGACACGAGGGACAGGAGAAAGCGAAAGTCTTATAAGGACGTACAATATAGTTGGGGAGACAGAAGCACCAAGAAAAAGTTAGAGACCGATAATAAAGAATAAGCTATGTGTCAGATAAATGCTTTCTTCTGCTGGTACTCGGAATGACCTTTTACCCTTGGCAAGGACCAGGTCTATTTATGTGACTTTGCAAAAAGGCCTGAGTGGATATGAGAATTAGGGAAAAGGTGAAATGAGACAGAAAGGAATTATCCTTTCTGGGACTGATAGAAATCTATATTCTAGTTGAAATATAGAAGCTACAGGAAACATATCTGTTACATAACAACATAAAACCTCTCTAGTGGGGATCAGACAATAGACCTATAAGAATATATTACATGCAAACAATATAAAATACCATCCTACACTTACATTGAGTTTACAGTTTTCATAGTGCTTTGAAATATCTTTTTAACTATATGAGGTTGACAAAACTAGAACTGTTTTTCAGTTTTAGAAGAGGAAACTCAGGGGGCCATCAGGTGGCATGGTGGTTAAGGTACTGGACTCCCACATGGCTGACCACAGTTCAAGTCCTGAACCTGATGGCTTGCTTTCTCACTCCCCCCACCCTCTCTTTCTCTCTGGTAAAATTAAAACATAAATAATAATAACAAATAAAATAAATAAAGATATCTTTAAAAAAAAGAAAAGGAGAAGAAGAAACTCAAGGGGCCAGCAGGTGGCGTGGTGATTCAAGACTCTAGACTCCCACATGGCTGACCATGGTTCAAGTCTTGGACCTGGCAACTTGCTTTCTCACTTTCTCTTTCTGTCTCTCTCTCTTTCTCTGGTCACATTAAAACAAATAATAAAATAATTCTTAAAAAAATAAAAGGAAAGAAACTCAAACACAGGGAAGTAAAAGTTACCAAGCCAAAGCATACTGCCCAGAAAGAGAGAGAGCTGGAAAGACAGAGTACAGGTCTTCTGATTCCTGGAAGATATATTTTTTTTTTTTTTGAGAGGTTTTTGCTATAGGGTGCGTGCGCTTGCCAGACAGACAGAGAGAGACAGAGAGCTAGAAAGCGAGAAATCACCCCCCGGGGGGGGGATGGCAACGCCGTAATCCCTTGTCCTCCATTCTCCTCTCAGGATCTTGGGCATGCACACACATGCACCGGGCATGAGTTTCAAGTCACCGGGTCTGGGACACTGAACCACGGTCGGCTACATGGGAGTCCAGCGACATAGCTATTATGCTAACTGCTAGTCCCAATCCTAGAAGATACTTTTTCTATTAAGTTATTATATAAGTGGAAATACCATAATAGAACTGAAATCAGAGGCACAAGTCAACACAAAACCCAGACAAGGAGAAAAACGCTAAGACTTTATCAGGCTATTTATAGTACTGGCCACTGAAGATGTATACATACATCAGATTTTGCAGAGCATGTATTCAACAGTTAAAGGTGATGCCACTGGATTTACCGAGGGTGTAACTACCAACTAAAAATCATCAAATTCCCTTTCTTCTTCATCCCATATTGACTAGACAAGCTTTAGGTATTAACTAGTTCCCCAGTCACCTCTACTTTCAGGAACAGACCCTTTTATACATAAGATATCCATCAATAAAGAGGGATTACCACTAACTCCAAATGTTAGAAAGTGAACTTTTGGCTCTGCAATGGTACCAAGAGTGTTTGTAAGCTGATCATCTCCAGGACTGACAACCAGAGGTTAAACAAACTGGCCAGCAATGTTCCCAGAACCTTCATGGCTCCAGCAGGCTCCGAATCCCAGAAAGCAGCTTCTTGTCAACATCTTCTACCACAGGATAGCATTACTGATTAGCCCTTGAAGTTTTAAATTTGAAGGCAATAACGAAGTTCATGTTACTTATTTTAAAAAGCAGATCAGTTTTGGTTTTTATCTAGAACTCACAAAATATAAAATCTGGAATCTACTATATCGTTTAAATCAGAAATGTTTAGCATACAAATTACCATACCTGGGGCAGCACGTAGCTGGGGCGAACAGCTCAAAGGTCTTATCGCTGGAAGACAAAATTAACTGTTTACAAAAAGCAGTACCATTCAATATCTGTGTAAGATGCTTATAAATCCCAATCTAATTATAAGAGGAAGGGAAAGGAAAAAACTTACAAAATCTGAGGGCCCATTTTGATGTACTGGGAAGATTTTTAAAAGTATAAGTCAAGATGGAAGTCATTCTGAAACCTACAAAGAAAAAAAAAACAAAAGTAAGCTCTGAGTTATTTGAACAATTTGTAGCATTTGTTGTGGTCTACAACTTCTGATAACCTCATCCATGACGACTATAAAACACTAAGATTTATTACCAACAGTCCTTCCTCTAATAATATTATTAGAACCTTTCAGTAATTTTTATGCTACAGGGTACGTACATTAGCTGGAGAGAAACAGAGAGACAGGGAGAGACAGAGAGCACCCCCTGTGGGGAATAGTCATGTCACAATCCTGTCTCCTCCATTTCTCACTCCTTTAGTGATTTTGGACACATACACACACGTGCTTGGCACATATTCCAACCCTCCGGTTCCAGGACTCAAACCACACAGTCACTGTGTGGGATGCAGGCGCTTTAACCACCAAGCCACCAACCGGCCCAATATTATTACTATATCAATAACAGCTACATTCGCATTGTGCCAATCACTATTTTAATCCTCACAATGACCCATGAAGTAGGCATGATTATTACACCCTTTGTATAAGAAGAAACAAAGGCCTGGAGGGACTGAGTAACCTGCCAAAGATCCCAGCTAGTGAGTGGCAGAGCTAGATCTGGACGAGGTAGTTCTGCTCGTTTGTACTCTTCTCCTTTAGGGTCAAAGAGGCAGAGAGACTGCTCGGCTTCATGAAGCCCTCGTTGCTGCTCTCCTGATTTTGGAAGGTTGTACTGAGATTGCATGGAAGGGTTTGTGGAATATTTCTACTTGAAGAGAATACGCAGTAAAACATTTAGGGATGCTGAAACCCCCGGTTAGCAACTTACAACTGCTAACAGAAAAAAGTTTCTCGGGACCAGCAGATGGTGTAATGGTTACGTTGCTGGACTCTCAGAGAGTCAACCCTGGGACCAGCAGATGGCATAAAGGTTATGTTGCTGGACTCTCACAGTCGACCTTGGTTCGAGCCAGGACCCAGCTGCTTAAAACTCACACCAGGCACATGTGTGTGTGGTAAGCACACATGCTATAGCAAAAATCTCTCTAAAAAAAAAAAGAAAAAGAAAAAGAAAAAGAAAGTTTCTCTGCTGCACTCGCAACTTTTCTCTAAATGATAATGTTTCAAAATAACTTTAAAAATGTAAAATATGTACTTACAAAAACCTCACATATTAAAAAAATATTTAGAGGCCAGCAGGTGGCGTGGTGGTAAAGGGAGCTGGGGAGCCACAGGGCCGACTGCAGTTCGAGTCTCAGACCAGGCGGCTTGCTTTCTCACTTTCACTCCCTCCCTCCCTCTCTCCCTCTCTTTGTCTGGTCAAGTTAAAATAAATAAATAAATACATAAAGTTAAATAAAATAATTCTTTAAAAAATATATTCAAGGGGCCAGCAGGTGGCGTGGTGGTTAAGAGCGCTGGACTCCCACATGGCTGACTGCGGTTTGAGTCCTAGACCTGGCAGCTTGCTTTCTCACTTTCTCTCTCTCTCTGTTCCCCTCTGGTCAAATTAAAATAAATAAATAAACGAATGAATAAACTTAAAATAATTCCTTAAAAATATATGTTTAAAATATGTTAACCACCCCCTTCCATAAAAAAGATGAATCCCTAATGAGTTAGGTTACTTCACGGGTATTACTTACACCATGGAACATGCCCTGTGCTGTCACCACCACAACAAAAGATTAGAACAACCAACAAATAGGGAATTGATGAGGTAAACCATGCTACAATAACCCAGGAAATTATGTGGCTGTAAAAGAGATGGAAATGAAAATAACAAAAAAAGGGACCAGCGGGTGGCATGGTGGTTAAGGTGTTGGACACTCCCACATTGCCGATCACAGTTTGAGTCCTGGATCCGGTGGCTTGCTTTCTCTCTCCCCACGCCCCCGTGTCTTTCTCTGGTCAAACTAAAATATATGAATGAATAAATAAAAATTTTAAAAAAAGAAATTTTAAAAAAAGATAGTGGAAATGATTATATACTAGTATGGCAAAATTTGTCAGCTATAATAAAGCAAGGTACAAAACAATGCGTACTACATGCTGTCATGTTTAAAATGGAAAAATAATCCTGGAATTGATCTAAAATATCCCTGGAAGTACAGGGAAAATGTTAAAAATAACTACTGACCGGAAGGAAGTAACAAGGATATTGGGATGAAAAGATAACTAGTCATTGTACATCTTCTATCATTTCTTTTTTGTAATATGTTTTAACTTAAAACACACACACACACACACACAGAAAATGTGCCAACAAAAACTATGGTAGCTAGCCTCCAACAGGACCCTAATAATCTCTCTCTAGCTCTTGGTCATCACACCCGTGCACAGCTGTTTCCCGCACTGTACATCAGACAGTACGAACAAAAGACAAGTCAGAAGTGACCACCTGGGGGACCAGCAGTTAGCGTAATGGCTATGTCGCTGGACTTCCCATGTAGTCGACCACAGTTCTAGTCTCAGATCCAGTGGCTTAAACTCACGCCAGGCGTGTATGTGTGCATGCCCAAGATACCAAGAGAAGAATGGGGGAGAAGGGACTGCAGTGTGGCCATCCCCCCTGATGGGTGATTTATTGCTTTCCGTCTGTCTCTGTCGTTCCAGCAAGTGCACGCGCCCTATAGCAAAAACCTCTTAAAAAAAAAATCTTAAAAAAAAAAAAAAAAAAAGTGACCGCCTGGCACCTGGGAGCTGAGGTGTGCACCTTACTGCAGCTGCTGCCTTGGTCTCTGTCTCAGATCGCTCACTGCTGGCAAGTCCGGTGGCTGGTCCTGAGCAGCCTTCTGAAGAGACTCACATGGTGGGGACTGATGTGCCTCCTGCCAGCAGCTATGAGTGTGCCTGGCAGCTGACCCGCTGGCACAGGCAAGCTTTCAGATGACTCCAGCTCTGGCCAACCTGACTACCTCATAAGAAACTCTAAGCCAGAACAGTCCAGCACAGTCACCCCAGATTCCTGACCCTCAGAACTGCATGAGATGATAACTATTGTTTTAAATGTTGTGCTAAGTTTTAGGGCAATCTGTTTACAGCAATAAATAAAAGTCTTCAAGTTTAACTTTACTTGGGCATCTATAGACTAAAAGGATGCCCTATGGCTTCCCAAAGGGGGTGGGGGGTGAATCACAGGTTCCAAACACGTGGATTAGAGATGGAGGAGTCCCCGTTTTAGGCTCCCCAGCCTAGGGATGTGCAAGGGACCGGTCCCTAAGATGGGCACCACTGTTTCTAGAAGCTATTTTCAATGCCACAAGGGTCTGAAATAAGTAAAAAGTTCCCCTTTAATTAAATTCATGAAAATAGTCAAGAAAATGTTGCAAAGGGGGGGAGTGCTTGCTCTAGGAGACATCAAAACTTTCCCTAAAGTAGCAATAATGAAAACAGAGCAGCTCTAGCATGGGAATAAATAGAACTGGTCAACAGAAGAAGAGGCAGTAAGCGCAGAAGCAAACCTACGTATGTGAAAACCTAGTGTCGGAGGGGACGTCTGAAAGTCTGTGGAGGGCTGACTCTGACGCGGAGCTAAAATATGAAAACATTGCTCAAGTGAAACCAGATCCTACCTGACGGCTGCTGTGGGAATCCTGACTCTGAAACACGCAGGACAGGCAAATTATTACCCAAGATCCAGAGGCCTGGAGGACGGGGACTGCAGTGACCCACCCTGTGGGGGTGCTCACCTCTCTCTTTCTCTCAGGAAACAAGCATTTTACTCTATCATGAGTAAGAAATAAACTACAGTACAAGCGTACCATGAAATACTGTTCAGCAATTTGGGAAATAAATGAAACATGATGACATGCAGGTACAAACTGACACAGAAAGATGTCTACAGTATTAGGTCATCAGGAAAGTCATGACGTGTTTTTCTATATTACGACTTTCCCGATGACCTGATATATACCAAATGAAAAACCAAGCTACAGAATGGCATGTGAAGTAAGACCACATCCTGGGCTGAAAGAGAGACAAGATGTCTATAAAGCTATGAGGCCGTATGGAAGGAATGAGGAAGGGTTTTTTCCTTACATTCTTCTGCCTTAACTTTTTTTTATAAAGAGCACTTAGCTTTATAGTTTTATTTCAAATCTATATAGACAACACTATCTTATATAGATACATAGAAATATACAAATGTATAAAAAATATACAGGGGACCAGCAGATGGTGTAATGGTTACATTGCTAGACTCCCATGTATTTGACTATGGTTCAAGTCTCGGACCCAGCGGCTTAAATAATCAATGCTGGGCATGTGTGCATGCACTCTCAAAATCCCAAGAGGAGATTAGAGAAACAGGAATTAAATGTGGCCATTCCACCTGGGGGGCGATTTCTTGCCTTCTGTCTCTCTGCCTCTTACTATCTCTCCGATGAGTGCATGCACCCTACAGCAAAAATCACTCTTGGGACCAGCAGTTAGCGTAATGGCTATGTCGCTGGACTCCCACGTAGTCAACTGCGGTTCGTGTCCTGGACCCGGTGGCTTAAACTCACTCCAGGCGCGTGTGCATGCGAGCCCAAGATCCCGAGAGGAGAATGGAGGAGAAGGGATTGCGGCGTGGCCATCCCCCCTGGGGGATGATTTCTCGCTATCTATCTCTCTGTCTCTGTCTGGCGAGCGCACGCGCCCTATAGTGAAAACCTCTCCAAAAAAAAAAAAATCACTCAAGAAAAAAAAAAAAGTCCAGAAAAACATGCAACACAATGTTAACGATAGTTATTTCTGGGTAATGGAACTATAGATGTATTTATTTTCTTTAGTTTCTGAAAAAAAATTACTTGGAATATATATTCCTTTAACAGAAATAATAAAATCTTTCAAAAGTAAGAAGTAGGCAAGCTATCTTATAGGAGGGTTGACTTTTACTGTCACTTGCTGAGCTTCAGAACAGAAATTTTTCAGGGCCAGAAGGTGGTGTGGTGGTGAAGGTGCTGGACTCCCACATGGCCGATGGAGGTTTGAGTCCTGGACCTGGTAGCTTGCTTTCTCACTTTCCCCCTCTCTCTCTGTCTTTTTCTGGTCAAATTAAAATAATACTACTAATAATAATTCTTTTTTAAAAAGGGAAAAAAATTTGACTCAAAGAGATTGGACACATGGAAATTCCAGGGTAGAGTCAACTTAAGTAGGGTGTGAACCGCAAAAAGGTGCAAGAAACAGGAGGCACCTGGGAACAAGGACTAGGAAGAGGCTAGGCAAATGAAGCAAGCAAGATAGGGAGGCTTCAACTCATCAGTATGCCATTAAGACACAGTGGTCTGGTTTAGACAACAGATAGTAAAGCCAAAAAAAAATCCAAACCCTTGCTCTACACAAGCAGTATAACCTTAAGAGAGTTACTTAAGCTTTCTCTGTCTTGGGGGCCCCTCATCTGACAAATGCAGATAATTCCAGAACCTACCACGTAGGATTGCTGCAAGGACTTTTTGGAAAAGTTATATATATTATGTACTGCCTGATACACAGTAAAGGTTATGTATGTGTCTGCTATTATTAGTGGGTGGTGATATAAATGCATTTAGTTCCCCTCTATATAAGCAATCATACTGAAGAGCTGAGGATTAAAGAAACATTATAACATTTACACCCTGTGGAGTTTACAATTTTGTTGAAAGTACAGAAAACAAAAAAGGGAAGCCAAAGGGTTGATATAAATCAGGGATTGGCAAACTACAACCCATGAACCTTTAGCTAAGAATAGTTTTTACATTTTTAAAGAGCCATATACAAAACAAAACAGCAGAATATGACAGAAACCAAGGTCAGCCTGCAAACTATTATTTCCTGTCTGGTCCTTTTTAAGAAGTCTGCCATCCCTTATCTAAATAAGAGATACCAGCAATTAGGTGCACAATGTAGGTGGGAAGTAGGTTTTGAACAGTAAAAATAGAGGTCGTCAAAAGTCCTTTTCACAATTTATTCAAAACTGGTCATCCAGTTTTTGCTTCAAGTGGTCAGAGTGATGGGAGACTCACTTATCTGACTTGAGCGTGAGGCAGAAACCTCTTTCTTTCCAAACTCATTTCAGTCTCTACTTCCCTGCCATTTTCCACTGCCCTTTTCTTGTTTTCTCTCTTGCAGAACCATCCATCCAGTGAGTAGTCGAACTCACATTTAATTTAGGTTTGAATCCTGACTCTGCCAGCGGTCAGGAAATTACGTAATCTTTCCAAGCCTCTAAACGTCATCTACAAAATGCAAACGAAAATTTTGAGGATTAAGCAAATTGCTTGTGAAGGTGTCCGGACCACAGCAGGTCCTCAATATAACTTCCTTCTGAAACCAATCACTTCATTCCAGGTCTCCAGCCATCTTCCCTGAATATAAACAGCTTACCGTACAGCGCAGAGCTCTTGATGAGAAGTTAGTAAACTTAGTCCTATCCCTAACACCTGTGGCTCACTATGATGCAGGGGCTTCAGTTTCTTCACCTGTAAAGTGAGGGGGCAAAAGACCAGACGATCGCCAGGTCCCTTCTGGATCAGAAAATCCTCCTGAGCAGGGGAGAGGACTGTCTCAGCTCCTCCGCCCAGCCTCGAGTCCCACCCTTTACCGCAGCAATCGGGATGAACCCGTGGAGCCGTTCTGAATCTCTATGGCCGCTGGCCTAGCCACTAGCAAAGCAGATAAAAATGAAAGACAAACACTCCAACATAAGTTAACTTTAGGAAAACATGCACACACGCAAACAGTTCGACAGCCAACGATGATTAGCTAAGGCAGTGACAACACTGCTCCCGGATACAACGCTAGTGAAGTCGCTGCCCTAACCGCGACAGCCGGGTCGACCTCGTCCCAGGAGCTTCCTTCCACGCTCCCGACTTCGACTCTCCCTGGGAGCCGAGCCGGCCGTGGGGACCGTCGCAGGAGGTGAGAAAGGAAGCGATACCCGGCTTGCGGGAAAGGCCAGGCGGAAAACCCAGCGCACCCACCTCTGATCGCTCCCTCGCGACCTCCCGCTCCGGGCAAGCTTCGGACCCAAGTGCTAAGACAGCGAGACCGAGGGGCGGGTCCTGCCTGGAAAGCCCCCCTCCCGCGCCCACGGGCCCCGCGGGCCTCACGGGCTGCCCGCCGGCCGCCTGATTGGAAAATCCGACACCCCGCCCTCTCGTTAGGCCTCCGCCCTCGGACGGGGAAAGCGTCCTTTCGGCCTCGAGAGCCAAGGAACCAAGGGCAGGACGAAGCGGGCGGCAGCAACTCCAGCCCGCGTTTTAGTCAGGCAGTACGTCGGGCGCCTGGCCAGGCTGGGCACGAGAGAAAAAAGCGCTCTGTTCTGCTGCCCCCGCGAGACGCGCTACCCACTTTCGTCCTCTCCGGCTCAAGATGGTGTCCTCCCGAGCAATTGGCAGCCTCCCACGCTTCACTGCCCTCCGGCCCCTC